GGGCCTCCCGCTGCTTCCTCCTCCCTTGCAGAGGGACCCTCTGGACACAGGCGGCTGCCCCTGGAATGCAGCGGTACATTCTTCAGCAGGTTCTTAAGGCAACACATTGAAATTCATTTACAATTTGTTTTTTAACGTGAAGCTAAACGCTGAAGTAACAGCCGTCGCTGTTCCGGAGGGGAGTTCAGGGAACAGAGGCAGCTGTGACAGGGAGGTGACAGGCAGCACCCTCTGCTGGCACTGCCACAGGGGGCCGGCCGCCTTCCCATCAGCTCCAGCTTTGAAAATAGACCGTAAGAATTCCCTCCGAGACCACACTGAGACACGAATCTCAGCCAGGAAGTCACGTCTTTGTGTAAGAGCTCAACAGGGTTTGGCCCGTGACGCAGTTCACAAAGAGCAATTCTACCATCTGATTTCTTTTTGCAGTACAGATCAAGAAACAGATTCATTACTCCCCTTCCGTCGCCTTCCCCTTTCCAAAATAAAAACAAATTCATAAAACAAATTAAACCACAAGAAACTATATTAAGAATCTCTTTCTAAAAACAAAGTTTTATCTGCCTACCCTGGCCAGGCAAAGCAGCGTCACTGCCTTTCTAGGAAAGGCCCGTACTCGGAGACGCTTTGCTAGAAAGGTGCCACAATGGGGGGGCTGTGCTCCCCCCAGGGCTCTCTCTGCCCGGAGCAGAGCACCCGTCCTGCCTGGCAGCGCCAGGACGGACACTCAGCTTCCCACGCACAATTTCATTCGTTTTTCTAGATTTGATGCCAGGCCCATAATAATAGTACTTGAAAGTATTGATGTGGTAAAGCCACCCCACTGTTACTTCAACAATGGAACTCAGGATATCAGAACCCACGTCCCAAATTAGACATCGGTTTCTTTTATTATGCCACAATGTAAACATATTTGGTATAAATAATGTTCTCATTGATCTTCATCCAGTTGTTCCAAAAGAGTCCTCCTCTGTTTTTCCAACTCCCCTTCACTCAGCTCACTGCCAGAAGTATCCCAGTTCCCCTGCGGAGAGAAGCAACGTTAGCGGTCAGGAGGATTCGCTGCCCAGAGGTACGTACAG